CAATGTACATACATTTTTATTGAAACATATCAACCAAAGGATAATCTATTCGCAAAAGGGAAATGGTACATGTAACACAGACTTGTAATGCGACTATTGTCTCTCCTCCGTGACAGACGGGCTACAGCCCAATGCTGTGGAGTCTGGCACGGCTACAGGGCGCTAGTTATTGCACTGCAGTCACACAAGCGCGCACACACACACACACACACACACACACACACACACACACACACACACACACACACACACACACACACACACACACACACACACACACACACACGCAGTCCCGCTTCCCATAAAGCATGATGCCAGTCTTGACTACTTAAAGCCATCCAACTATTATTCATGACAGATATTAGACAGACAAACATTTTTAATTCGTTGATAAACCATTGGAAATCTGTTAATTTTACTTGATTATGTTTGTTTTATATACACTCATAAAAGCCTTCATTGCGACCTTGTGACATTGACACGTTTTCAGTGAGCTATCATGAATGGTTTTCGGGGTTGCTGATAAACTGCCTGTTTGGCATCTGGTCGGGATCTATTCTTGTTGTGTATGAGGGAAATCACCCATTAGCCAGACACACATGAGCTCACTCCATTTCGGCAGCTAGTGTTTTAAAGCTCCAATAATGTCCTTTCTCTCTCTCTCTCACACACATGCAGCAGAGCAGCGGACTGACAGCGCCTGTCACAAGGCCCTGACCTGAGCATTGAAACCGACTGGTTCCTCGGCAGACTCCAGACGAGACAACTTGGATTAAATCAAGTATAAGTCTTTCCTTGTCAGATCAAAACTACCATAGTAGGGCCTGCCAGCCTATACGTGCAGGTGCTAGGATGAGTGACACATTAAGGTCAGGGTCTAAAAGGGCGAGAGTGGCAGAGACGGAAAAAAAAAATATATATATATATACGCTCACATCAATCGCCACTTCACTAAACACATCATGTATACATGCATGCACGTGCACTTATGATTGCAAACAGATTAAACACCACTGTAAAAGAAACTTGGCAGCTCCTATGTCTATATACACACGTGCGAATGATGATGTCTCTACTCTAACACACAATCTGCTTCGATGACACCTCTCGGACTTGAGAAATTGGATTCAGGCTGCATTTAAAGAAAATTCACATAGAGAAATCTTCGAGAAATACCTAGAAAAAAAAAAAATCCTAATGCAGCAGGCAAGCCGTCTGTGTGTTTGAGGACTTGTGCGTGTGAGATGGAGAACGTGTTTGTGAGTAGATTCGCACTCTTTTCAAGCAAGCTGTTACTAACAGAACCTTCACATCACTCCCACTCCGAGTAATGTCACTGTCATGTGACATTGTAGGCAGCGGGGAGGAAGGTGAGAATTACTAAATTGAAAAGACACCATCATGACAACTGGCAAGGTGGGTGATGTAAGGCGAGTGGTGAGTAATGATGCACCCTGAATCCAGGTCAGTGCTCTTAACTGAATTTTACCAAGGAAACAGGGAGAGAGTGATGGAAGACTTGGAAGAATTCCTTGTTTTAGCCATGACTCAGTGCAGCAAAAAAAAAAAAAAAGATTTCAAACTGTAATGTTTCAAAATAGCAAAAACACAAGCAAAACACCTTTTAAAACGATGCATGGCTGAACACACTTATCTGCTTTCAATTCAACCCCCGCCTTTCCCTCCCGTGCAGTGGAAAGGGGACGGGAGAAAGAGCAACGCTCCGTGGCCTCTGGAACGACGGAATGGCACTTTTATGATGTCTCCCAGATTATTCCCCGGGATGGATGGGCTGGGCTGAAACACCAATTGATTAATCCATCGACTGGCGGAATGTGCTGCGGCTGTCTCCCTGCTCAGCTGTTCTTTCCCCCCCGGACAGAACATTGAGCCAGACATGCCGGAGAGGATGACTAATGAGTGGGACCGCTGCAAACACTGCTCATGTCTGTCCCGGGAAGTTTTGCTGCGCTCAACATGCTTGTCGGGGTTAAAGTGTATTTATATTGAACAGGCACGGGCAACGTACAGTGCCGGGGTTCGGATGAGCATCCACGAGGGGTACTCCTGTTTCCTCGTTGGGATATTTGCAGTGACATGGCGTTGACAAACTGCTCCGTGCTTTACAGAAACCTAAAACACTCTCTGCAAAGCAGTGCATCATTTATCAATATCACAGTTTGGAAGAAACAAAGGTGGGGTTTTTATCACGTTCGCAATAGCTGCCTTGTGACCATCGGGTTTGAGGTTACCCCCTAAGACAGCATCTACCCAACGTCAATTCATGCAAGGCCACTCTTCACGCCTACTTCTGAAAACTTGCATGATTATTATAGATCGAGCTTCTGTATGAAAGCAAAATTCAATAGCGGTGATGCACTTTTAAATAACAAAAAGGCTTCAAATCACATAACTGCCTTATTTGAACTGACCTCAAAATCCGTGCAAATGCTAAATTGAATCACTTGTGTTGGTTGTTATGAACCGGACACATTAGGAAAGGTATTCATGGTTTTGTTTCTTCTGCAAAGGTATACAAACACTTAAGCTAGATCTGAAAAATGTGCCGCGGCGCTGAAACATCTGTTTGAGGGATTTGAATTATCACCGGCAATAAGGACATATGCATGGCTGTGTTAACCTCTGCTGTGCTAATTACAATAGAAAAAGGCTCTGCACGCTTTTAACAAAGCTGAATGCAGCGATGCAGTAATACTCTTGTTATATTCAATCCCAATATATACTGTTGGCTTTGAATTCGATACATTCGGAGTGTGTTGTCAGCTTGCTCTTCATAAAAAAGATCCTTTAAAATCCAGCTCAAGGGTTTCAATCTGACCCAGACCCACTGCATCGCACTGCTGCATGCTCTCAAATACAAAAGGCGAGGGAGTAGATAACAAATCACTGTGACGGTCCCTTTCTCATTGAATGAAACCCCCTGAGAGATTTTATACCCAGAGAAGATCAAAAATGTAGGGGTAGCTCCATTATTGATGCAAGTCCCCGGCAGTGAAATAAAAGAATGCTAATGGTGTCCTAAGCCGGGCTTTACAGAGATTAATCCGATTTGAGAAATGAACGTTTTATTATATGGCACAAAGTGCTGGCCCTGATCTGAACTGAGTCACAGGCTGAGGAGGAAAAAAATGACAAAGGGAGTGTGGGAAGGGAACATTGGTATAAAGTCTGCCGCTTTGCAAAACCCTGGCACCTCATTTAAGCAGTGCCCTTTTCCAGCTGACAAGTTCATTAATTTTCTGACATGGCTGGTTGGAATGATTTTTAATAGATAAGTCAGACAACAATGGCATGGAGAAATTGGAAATAAAGCAGATATCTATGGTAGCAACATTATCAGCGGAGGACAGGCTTTGTGTGAGCAGCAAGAAGTCCCTCTTGGTCCGTCTGCTGCACCTGCTCTCAGGCTAATTCCCTTCCACTGCTCGGATGGACTAGAGGGGCCACACAGCTGATACAGCCGTTGTCCCTTTTGCCACGGTAAACAAACAAACACTACCAAGATTTCCCAGTGAATTAGTCTGTTGTACAGCTCGCTATGATCCCAAATCTGCACCACAAATTCATTGTCAAGAAAATTGCCACTAGAATGAGGAGGTTTGAGGACCTGGGGAGGGAAAATAGTCCTTCAAATTAAAGCATCTCTCGAGTGCTTTGACTTATCATATTTATGGAGTATTCATGAAGTATACAAACATTTTCCCTGAGAACAGGCAATTGGCAAACCCTGTATAAATGGTAATCATGCAAAGTGTTGGCAATTGCACCTATCCATTTCCTTTGGATGAATGAGTAACATAAGTCCTTTCAATGTGGCAAACTCTATAAAAACTTAAAACTATGAGAATCATTCTGCATCGGTTCCCAACAAACAATTGCAATTCTAGGAATATGTAGGGGGGATTTATCATCTTAAAGCCTCTGACAGAGAAAAAACATTAAAATCAGCAGTCCAATTTGTCTCCCCAAGGCAATGTCACTCCATCATATGGAGGGCTTTTCTTTTTTTCAGCCGGTAAATAATGTCTGCCATGTTTCTCACTTTCACAGGTGAGAGATGTAATTCATTCGTTGTCTAGTGATGCCACCACCACCAACAACCGTTTATTATTGCCAACATGACAGACCGCTATTTCTTAAGCTCACCGGCTTTTGAGTTTTTCGACTAACCTTTGTTTACACAGAACGACAACATGGATGGATGGATGGATGGATGGAAAACCCATGTCTCTTCGTATAACTTATCAAAACATGTAACTGCAACTCGCATATTAACTTCATGTGTATCACAGGCCTCAAATGTGTCGTTTGTTACTTCTCAGCATGCCCTAACAGAATAGGGGCTGGGATTGCCGGTGCCATGAACTACAACAGCCATGTCTTCTCCAGCTAAGCAGAGGCAGAGCTTCAGATTTGAATTCCAGCACCATGTAAGAAGGTCAGTGAACAAGGGCCTTTTTGTGTAAACCACGAAATAGAAAAAGAAGGGATACCAGAAGGACCAGTTGCAGATTTAGGCAGCAGAGATAGCACTCCAGCAGCAAATTATTCCTCAAAGGTCAAGTAGCATAAATAGCCGTGCTAAACAGATTTGCAGATACTGAATATCGGTTGAGCGCCTGCAGGTTTTCTAATGGACGGATAGCAGACTGGGTGATTTGCCTTAAGTGCATTCGTCATGTCAACATTTTTAAATAACATTTTTCTTCACTAAACGTCCAATACATTTTGGCTTTTGTTTTTTTCTGTTTGGTACAAAAGACACTATTTCGTTATATGCGCGCGCCAGGCGATCTCACCACGAAGAGCGCGCGGTGAAAACCGGAGCAGGTCCACGCGGGCACGCGCATCCTCTCCTGCATCTTCAAAAATCAGCGCACGATTAGGTATCAGAAGCACACGTGAGCATCCCACAGGAAGAACCGGTAGACGTGGTGGGTATGTTTAAGGAAGGAGTGAGTCAATCAACACTAACTTACTTGTTCACAAAAGAGCCTCTCACTCGCGCGGGTATATCGGTCCTGTTCCCGCTTCCTGCCCCCAAAAAACTGCGTCGAAAAAAATCATCCGCAATTCTCAGAGTATTTGGTCGGCAACGTGATGAGGTTTTCTTGTCAGACACATTGTGTCCCCTCTCTCAAAAACGACGTGGTAATCCACACATCAGTCTGGATGGACATGCTGGGATAATTCATCCGATATTTCCTTCTTTTTTTTCAGTTGGCACACAACACGGAGACACCCACAAGTGCCATTGTTGAAACTACCCCCTCCCTCCGATGTGATCGCAGGCTTATTTGCTCCAAAGGATGAGTTGGGGATGAGATAGCCGCATTAATATTGTTATTTCCTCTGAGATCTAAATTAAAAGGTTTAAAAAGTAACCTCTCCCAAACATGTTTAGCACGGATAATCTCTTATGGTCATTTCCAGGTAGATCCATCCTGAAAAATCTCGTTTTTTGACCTCGTTTTCAAACGTAACTTTTCTGCAAGTGCCTATAGCTTCTTAGTCATCAACCCTGCTGAGTCTGATTAGATTTCACCTCACAACCCGGTGCGGTATTCGAGATGCTATATTTCTATTCCCCTGCCTGGTTAAAGCCCCGCGGCGGTGCCAGTGAATAGGTTCCAATGCGTCGGTAACTGGATAAAGTTCGAGGATACACAATATTTATCTCTTCTCTTCAGCTTGCTTCCGTTCTCCGTTTCCGCGAAGAGGAACGAGTAAATCTGGCGTGCAACATCGGAAAACATCCAGCGGGTATCCTCAACAAGCCTTTTTAAACTCCCATCAAAAACGGCTCCATGTGCGGAGCCTTCGTTGCGCACCGATGACTCAATTCTCACATGCCTTGGTTTTCCGCTGCGAGACTTGGACGCGAGCGGCAGCTCAGCGAAGGCAGCGGTCACGTCTGCGCGCTTCTTCCATCTGTCTTTGCATTTCATCAATTCGAGCCTCGCGTTGTTGTTGTTGTTGTCGTTGTTGCGACACACGCGGCGATAAGAAACGACTAGCGGGTTATCATCCACACAGTGCCGCTCGGCCACGCCCCTTCTTATTTTCCCCACCTCATCTGCAGTCTGTTTTAAACTGCTTCAAATGTGCTCACGGACTCCGCCGGCTGTATCCATCGGCGCGCTTCACGGTAACTCAATGCGCGCGGCACGTACGCATCCAAAAGGCGGCGCGTAACGGACGGACGGGCGCTGGAAGGATGATCGCACTAGGGAGGCATCGTGCGGGGTTACCTCCCACTGAGCTTCTCAGGTGGGACTGAGACTGCAGGACTGTAAGCAGCGAGGGCAAGATAACATTTCCCCCTCATTCGGTCTTCACGTGGCTCTGTTTGAACTTCTAAAGCCCCTACTCGATGTCTGCACAGCATGCGCGCGGTCCTCTGCGCCGAATCTCACTCGGAGGACCGGCCTTAATTAGGGGATTCTTGACCTTTGCCCCCCACCCCCCCTTTTTTTCATTGTTCAGTCTTAATATGGGCAAACAAATGCAAATGATTGTTCACGCACCCACTTGTGTGCGTGTGTGTGTGTGTGAGAGAGACACAGGAAGAAAAGGAGGGGGGGGTGTTAGATGATTCCGCCCATGTGTCGCTTGCTAATGGGACACGACTGCCACCTACCGACTCCCCTTAGCCTGCTGGCTGTATGACGGTGGCCTCAGGCCGGTTGCCGCATACATACGGATGCCCTCCCATGACACACTGCGTTTTGTCTGTGCAGGATTATATAGAATACATGTATTTGAATACGCTGCAATGACAATAAACAGGCTCTCATCACCAGTCAAGATGTGTAAAGCGTAAAGCGCGTGAGGTGAGTGAGTGACGAGTCACGCCGTTCAGAAGACAGCTCGATATGTGTTGGAATCTTTCTGAGGCTTCAGCACTTAAGACCCCATTTATAAATGCTGGCTCCGTGTTATGAATTATGAAATGCGCGTTGCAGATTTTTTTTTAAGGCATGGCGGCTGACACAGGAGACTTCAGGTCTTCACAAACAGTATTGCTTGTGAAATGCTTATCTCAAGCAACCTGCTGCAAGGCACATACTCTGCTAAATGTTGGGCATACGATACAAATAATGGAGATTAAAAAATGCAGATGGGCGAGTGAGAACACGTTTCTATGGGCAGAGGAGGCGTTCACAGATCATGTGATAGATGTGAGAAAACGTTTGAATGCCAGACCAGGGATGTGCCCATCGCACTGTCAACATCTGATCTCATTTCCCTCTGTGCTGAAGGCGTTGCATCGTTCATCTGTCTTCATAACTGTCGACCTGCCTGTCTGTTTTTCCGGCGTATGGCAGTAAAGAGCGCCGCCTTTTTGCTTTCCAGTCGGGGGACCACTCTTTAAAATAACTCAGTTTTTCACTCCATTCTTCTCGCCTCGCATTTTCTTTGGGTTTGGCCAAGTGAGGGTGTGAACGTGCAAACCCACTTTTCTTTTCAACATGTCGACTGGGTTTTTGTTTGTTCCCCTTTGAATCCACAGTTACGTGTGAATGACATCTAGGTCACTTTTTAAAAGGTTGCTCTCGTTTATTAATCTTTGTGATGTTGTTACAAGACTGCCTTGCCTAATGGTTTTGAATTAAAGCTTCACTAGTCTTTGGGTGTGTGTTCGACACTTCTTACTTCAGGGCATTTGCAGTGTGGGAACGAATCACTGGTGGCCATACTATTCATCTTCATGTAGCTTTTGACTGGTGGAAACACCAAAGTTATTCTTTGGCAGATATCTGATGCATTGTTGCAGGAATCCATCACTTTAAACACTTGAAGGTATTCGTAAAATGCACTATTCCACATCCTTTCATCAAACATGACACGTTAATTTTACGTTTTTACTGATGCGAGTCCTGCGCACTATATTGAAGCATTACATTAAAGATCACGCTGTCCTTGGTGAACGTTAGAGAGATGTTGTGCTGCCATTATAAACAACGTGACCTTGTTCCCTGAAAGGCAAAAGACAAATACAGGACTCACAGGGCCAGTTATTTCTGGAGTGGCAGGGGCGGGTAAAACATCTTACTTAAGGGAATGCTTGAGCAAAGATTATTGGGTTTGTTTTCAGCATCCTCGTAAAAATAAAAATCGCTCAACGTTAACCATGCGGATTATGGACGAGGTAGTGTTGTTGGGTTTTGAATAAACATGTTTACAACACCATGATCTTTAGCATCACTTTATCGAAAACCATCTAAAAAAAAAAAAGCTGGTGTTTTGACAGAAGCGATGGAAATGCAGTTAAATCTCTCCCTTTCCCAGAGAGTATTATGTTATCACAGCGTCTATAACACATGTATTTGGATGCAATTAGATAATACAATAATTGCGTTGGGTATGCAGCGTACGTCTCATCCTGGGATCAAAAGGAAAAAACACACCACACTTAAGTCTTAAGTCACGACTACTCAGCATCGCTATTCGCTCTACCAAGATTCAGTTTGAGCTGATGGATTAAAAATGATGAACTTGTAATAATACATTTTATCAGAGCGCTGACAACGGTGATATCGTTTTATGTACGTCTATAATCTCCGCTTCTGGCTCTGACAAACGTTCAATTGCACTGCTATAAAATTCTTACCTCACTTCGCAAACTTACAAACTGAAATTTAAAATACGAAACCTCTCCCTCTGACGTCTTTTAAAGGAGGCTCCGAATACATTAATAAGGTGTAATATTTATTTTGAGATCTGGGTATTTATTATTCATTATGTTGTTTTGGAGAGTATGAGATCACTACTGATACACTGCCGGTCTTTGGAGCGATGCAACAATGTACTCAGGTGTGTTCGGACAGGGAAGATGGAGAAGGGAGCATGTGAATGAGACACGCTGCTCTTTTTTACTCTGCTCCATCAGTCAAAGTCCCACCCTCAGGTTACGTATTGTCCTGTAATAAAGCTCCCGGTCTACTGTTTCATATCCCTTTTTTCCTTTCTCTGGTTGCCAGGTACTCGTTGTGAATTAGATATCAACCACTGAATTTGTTTAGAGTTAATGAGAGAAATTGCAAAATCACCTCAGTGACCTTTCTAAGATTATTAGAGCAAATCATAAAGTTTCACGGACTTGATAATTGGATGGATCAATGTGTTTCCCATTCTATTGAATCTACACTTTGATTCACACTGATCTCCAACATTACTTATTATCCAAGGCTGAAGAGTGAAGAATGAATTTTAAGTTTCAATAGGTTACTTTTGGCTCCGGTTGTGGATTCAGCCCATCTGGTGTAAATTAAGTCATTAATTTACATCAAAATCTGTTGATAATTATAACATGATTAGTATATTACTTATTTGATCATGAATGATGAACATATATCAGTGATGTCCCTTAACATACAATTGCACATTAGTATATGTAAGTTTTTAAAATGTATTTTTCCTTAGCAGAAATGGCCTGGTAGCCATGTTACTACCAGAAGTGGCACTTTGAGTTTTATGGCGGGTGAAGCATAACAAAAATCATGGTCACCATGACTACTAATGATGATCAGGTCAGCTCAAAAATACCAACAGATGATTAAGTAAGTGGCGACGAGTATGAGCCACTCAGTGCCCGATTCACATTGAATACGGTTATAAATGAACTAATCATTACCTGATGATTACTTCATCCTATAGAATCTGACAGTGTTCTCTACATTTCTGTCACCGGGTGATTCACATTTTTTTTCCCTCACTCAATAATAATTTATAACATTTCTACGTACCATATTATAAAGCATTCTGAGCATATCTGATGTCTTCTGGATGTTGCAAGACATTGAGCCGCACGTTACAGTGACAATTTTGCTCATCCATTCAAGCGTAATTCCAACAAGTAGAGTCCGCATCAGCAGAGAGTGCCCTCTCCCACTGCGCCAGTGTCCTTGAGTGGTAAATTTAAATCTTTAATGCCACTCGGTTCAATAAAACAGATAAGATCTCAATTTCAGCAATATACTATGTTAGCTTGTTTCAGAACAAGCACAATGGGGGGAAAAAAAGGTGAAAAAATACTGTGATGAAAACAAAATATTTTCACATCTCTGGATTTAATATATAAATATATAGTGAGGAAAAATGTGTAATGCATTTTTTTCATTGCATATATACAGCATATGATTCATTTTTTTATATATAATCTCTGAGGGGTATTTTCAGGGAATTTAACGCAGTGGCCAGAAAACTTTTGCCATCGTACAAATTGGGTCTCTATGCAATACGTTGACTTGGAATGATTCTAAACCAAAAATACGCAGTTGTCGTTGAACAATTATTGTGTTTCGGAAATAAAGAACAGTAACGGCCATCCCTGGCGAAAGGGCTGAATAATATATAATAATTATGTCTTAGTGGTAAAAAGTCAACGTGTAGCGACACATATTGCTTTTTTTAAAACCTTGGCCGTACGGTTACATACTGTGCGAGCAAACATGATCAAAAAAACCTCTCAGACATTTGGTTTCTAAAATGTATGAGATTTAAGAAATTATGTGTTCCTTTTTTAGGCTGTGTACAACATATTGTCGTAGAGTGCCAGCATCAAAATAATGTGATGCAAACAGTGTAGGAAGTTGAAAAATACTGTGTAAAATTGATGGAGAGGGATTAGGGGGGATGTTTTGGCTGCTGCAGAACATGATGAAATCTTTTTTTTTTTCACATTTTCACCAGCTTGGTATTTTTTTCTCACTTCAGTTGAATAAAACACCACATCCTGTTAGTCGGCTCGCAGAAAGGTGCATGCAAAATACAAAACATATAAATGTGCTGAATATGTTGGGAGAATGATCAAAACTGGGCATCTTAAGATATTCCTGTTGAAATCATAGGCCGTGTAAAATATAAGAGCAGCATCTGTGACATAATCCACAGGCTTTCTGAGGAAAACAAGAGATTATTTGGGTAGGTGGCTACAGCCCATGCTGGTGGGGGGAAATGAGGCGAGCCTGGAGGACACAGAGGAGGAAGCAGCTAGCAACAAACCTGGAATTGCACCAACCTGCCACTCAAAGAAGGGGGTCTTGCCTAAAACGCGGACATGGGCTGTGGACACAAAACTGTTTTGAACAGTTTGTGTCTTTGGCTAATATTCCCACTTACTTTAACATTAAGATCTGTGGGTATTAGTTCACTTTTGGAGCCATCTTTAACTGGCCATTTAAAGGACTTTTTGGCCAATTCCAAAATTGTGTAATTTTTCAGAACCGGAGAATGCTATGTGATTTGGACAAATATTTTAAGCAATAGATGTATTTTTTTTGTTGGCGGAGAATTAGGAGAACAAACCTATCTACTAAATCTGATATTTGCAAGACTTTTAAGGGAGAGGACGATCATTGTGC